CCACTTTCTTACACCATACACAAAAAATAAACTCAAAATGAATGAAAGACCTAAATGTAAGACAGGAAGCCATCAAAATCCTTGAGCAGAAAGCAGGCAAAAACCTCTTTGATCAAAATGTTATTTTTAAAGTTTATTTTCTGAGAAAGAGTATGTGAGTGGGAGAGGGGCAGAGAGAGAGAGAGAGAGAGAGAGAAGGACAGAGGATCTAAAGCAGGTTCTGTGCTGACAGCAGAGAGCATGATGTGGGGTCCAAATTCATGAACTGCAAGACCATGACCTGAGCTTAAGTCGGACACTTAACTGACTGAGTCACCCACGTGCCCCTAGAATCAAAATCTTAATAACCTTGTATCTATTAAAGAAATTAAATCCATTACTAAGAGCTTCCCTACAATGAAAACCCCATATTTTATACCTAAAAGTTTTGGTATGCATTCTAGTGTGTTAAGAATTTGACTTGAAAAATGGATGCTTTTAGATAAGCTGGGATAATATTGTTTTTATACCAGCGGTTGTAAACTCAGAGGTTACAGGGGACAGGCAAGTAAAATAAATGAGAGAAGCCTGCCATGTTCCTCTGGGGTAAACTGGAGAGCCATGAGTCTCTCAACAGAGAGCAACCATTCAACTCTTCCGACTGCTGCAGTAGAGGAATGCTTGTTTAGTATTATGAGAAATGACTTTACAAAAGAAGCGCCAAAGACTGATTCTGGTTTCTGTACTCTGGATTTCTCCACATGAGGCCACCCTGTGCCAAAGCCTCCCTTCTTCCCATGTACATATTTACAACACATCCACGAGAAAGTTAATGGTTCATTGCTAAAATACAACCAAGTTAGGGCCACCAACATTGCTGACCTTGTGCTGGTTGTGCTGCTGCTCAGGGTGCATGCATTCAAATTCATTCAACAACTAGTTGAATGTACCAGCATGTTCTACATGCTGGGGATACAACAGTTAACATAACAGTAAAAATTCCCCTAGCTCATGGAACTGACATTCCAGTGCCAAAGACACTATATGTGTATTAGAATTATAAAAGATAAACACTTTTTTGTGAATATCATGAAGGATTCCTATATGGGATGCTGGGACAAAAGTCTAATAGTTTAAAAAGAACACAAAGACCCTTTTAAACTGTACCAGTCCTCGGATTGTTATTAATTTCTTACATAAAAGTACAGAATTAAATTCAGGAGCCACTAAACACAGACTCGCTGACTCAGAGAAATCTCAGCAGATCTGACTGTTAAATGTTAAGGAACTTGGAATGTTTGGCAGCACATAATTTATTTGGGCAAATATTATGGGACAAAGAGCCAGGCAATGTGGGGCAAGGGCATTCAGCTGTTGTTGTTTTTTATGCTTTGTGATTAACTGTGAGGAATCAGCTTAGGAATTCTCTGAGTCTGCACTGATGGCATGAAGAATTAGAAAGCTATAGCATGTACACACCCAAGTTTAGGTAAACTTGAGTAGATAAATAAAATTAGGTAAAGTGGGGCAAAAGTCCCAGTATAGAACAAAGGTATAGGAATAGGGAATCTCAGGATGAAAACATCCCAGATGAGGTAAACAAGATTAGGTATTCAGGGTGGAAATGCCCCCCAACTTAGTACTATAGCAGAAAGCTGCTTCCATAGGAAGCAAGGACCAAATTAGATAAATAGGTAAATAGGGCTACAGACCACTGCAGGGCGAAGTTGCCCAAAGTGGAGCTAATTAGCAAAAGAAAGGTGCCTTGTTGACCCTGAGGTAGAATGCTCTGTCTTTCTTGTCCCCTAGACCAGTTTAGGTAAACAGAGGTGGTGCCTCATGTCTGCTATAAACAACCTTCAGCCCAGCACCAGGATTCTGTTTTGTGTTAACCCAAACCCCTAACACCGCATATCTTCAAAATCCCATTTCCCTCACATCCATGAATTAATGTTCATGATTTCATTGTCTTTTTGTGCACACCCATCACCATGTTTGTAAGCCTTCTGATCCTAATAAAAACAGAACGAGGACCCTTACTCGGGACTCTTGTCCTCCCCCGGACATTAGCCACTCTCACATTTTTAATCCTGTGTCCCGCTTTCTTGATGGATAAGAAAGAACACCAGATCCAGAGTTTACAATTAATATCTATTTGACTATATGTATTAAGCAATGTTTAATATAAAATTGTATCAGGGGTTGGTAGGAAGAAATTGTTTGTCATGAGTTTCACCAAAACAAACAAAACGTAAGGTTGCTGACACTGTATTCACCTCTCCTAGGACATGAAGTGGGGAATCACACTGTCTATAGAGGAAAAATGAAGAGCTGCACATTTTATCTACTTTCCTATCTCCATTACCTAGAATAGTAACTGGCACATGTTAGGGGCTCACTAAGTTTTAGCAGAATGGATGGATGGATGGATGGATGTAGTATCAAAGGGAGAGAATGAATGAATTTGGACAGAATGCAACCTCTCATGAACAGATTTGGGAGGCTTCTCTAGGAATCAAATCAAGTTGTGTGTAATATGTTAGGAGTCTAGAGTAACAAAATGTTTAATTTCTAAGATGAGTCAGGGGTTATAAGTTGGTGGCCTGTATCCCACCTCTGGACATAGGTTGTCTGGCTTACCAGGTACTTTCTTTTGTTTTATAACCAATTCTTTGCCAGGGCACTGGGTGGCTCAGTTAAGGGAAAGCTAGGGGAGAGGCCCCATGCATCACTAGAGACACAATGACCAAGATCAAGGCAATTAGCAAAGTGGCAACAGACAGATGAGAAGTGTTGGCAGAATAAATATTATTGGGATGAGGACGCTGGGGGTGGGGAGAACTTGGAGACATGGATAAATGGGCAAGGTTCAACAAGAATGATATAAAACGCAACAAAGATGAGGCATCCTGAGGTCATATTTACTTGGTGGTTCTCTCCATGGGTTGATGTGTTAACTACCTATAAGGACTATAAATCAAGGGGAAAGTGAAGGCATCACTTTTTGCTCTCTCCACCTCCTCCCTCTCCAGCCCATCTCATGGTTCAAAAGTTCTTAACTAGATTACTGGTCAGGGCAGTGATGAAAGTCAGCTTAGAATCTGAGGAAAGAGATGTTTGGCATCATCAAATTGTGATACCAGGTTAAATAATGTATTACAGAATTAGATAGCCTGGACCCAAATCCTGTTCTTTCCCTTATTAGGCATGTGCTGGTTTCTGTGTGTTATTTAAACCCTTGACACCTCAGTTCCCTCATCTAGAAAATGGGGGTGATGAAAATGCTCACCTACTCATAGTATTAAATGCCAAGTGCACTTTAAAAAGTGCCTATGCCCTCCCTTGGCATTATTATGGAAGTTCAGAAAAAGGAAAAAGAAGGAGGTGGGGAAGAAGCCCACATGTTAGTTGAATACTAACATATAATGCAGGTGCATGGGAAATTTAAAAATTATATTAACTCTCTGACTCCATCTCAGGTAAATTCTGTCCAAAGACAGTGTTGGGTGAGTTTTCTCACTGTGGACATCACCAGCTGGGACTTAGTAGCTGGAGCACCATGAACTGTCTATCTCAACTCCTAATGTCCCTACTTCACCTCTCTTGGTCTGTCTCTTGGAGAGAGATAAACTGAACAGTTGGGTTTTTCTGTAGACATGTGTAATCTCTAGAGGCCATATGGACTATTTTCCCTATACATACCTTAAAGACACACTCAAGTACGTAGTTGATAGGGAGGAATCCAGTTACACATGCCATCCTCAAAGAATGACAGATGACATGACCTAGCTACATATGTCAGATGCTCATGTGTACAGTCAGGTGATCTGTCCCTTCCCTCTGAGTGTAGCCTGAAGTGAAGACCAAGTGTAATGAGACAAATTCCTATTAGGCTCATAGTCTCATTAGTTGAAGGTAAGAATTCAGACTAAGGTCAACTTACCGACCTTAGAAACTTTGGTCACAATTATGTGACTGTGTACCAGATATTTTCACCTGCTATCTTGTTTCCAAAATGAGATTATCACCATTTCATAGATAAAACCACTGAGGCTCAGAGGATTGAGAACGTGACTAGGCTGAGAATTGAACCCCCAAATGTAAGCTTTTCCCACAACACTTCTAAGCTGAGGCAGAAGCCATTTCTGGTTCTGTGCCCCTCAGTCTACTAGGATCATGATAAGATCAATGAGGCCATTCTTGTTCTCACCTCCCATCATGAGTGCCTCCTTACCTGCTCCATTTGAGTCCAATAGTCCAGGACATCACTTGCAAAGTTAAATTCCTTAGGTCTATCGTAGTCATTCCATCTCAGGGTTCCAGCTCCTGATAAAGACCGGCAACAAAGGTACCAAGGGGCAGGGTGAAAGCCATGGTAGGATTTGCGGATGCCCCAGAGGACTTGGAGCCTCATCAGCCTCTGCATGGTGGAAGAGGCCTCAGGAAGCTGACACAGAATTCTCAGGTCAACACCTGCCTTGGGAAGAGATAGTACTAGATTGGCCATGGAATAGTAATTTCCTCCACAAAATGAAGGCAATAGCTTTGTGAGAGAAATAGCTTTGTTTCAGATCACCAGAATGTGGACGACACAAGACCCATCTGCATCACTACCCCTCTCTTGTTAATATTTTCTCCCGGATTCTGTGAGCCAACAATTTTTCCTGCCTGAGATTGCATTTCTGTCACTTGAGACTATAAGAATATTGACAAATATACAGCACCATACTCAGGAATGATGAGGCTAATATCACAACACCTGTGCTAGTGGACTGATATCTGGCCAGATGGGGGGCAGGGAACTTTCCCAGGACATCATTCCAGGCAGCTATCACCAACCCATCAGAGTTGACCCATGAAATGCAACTTTTTGCCACTCCAGATCCCAACAAAGACCCTTCACATGGAAGCAGAAACTTCATTTATTATTATTGATGACTGTGAAAAACTGCCTTAAGCTAGAACTATCTTTCCATGAGAATGCTGGCTGAAGGAAACCATTTCACAAGCAGTTTTGCCATCCAAGCACTTTATGTCTGCAAACAATAAAGTCTCCTCCCCCTTGGATTCAGCAATCATGATGACAGACCACAGAATAGATGGATAAAACCTGGCTCAATTTACTTTAAGGTGCTTTAGACCAATAATAATCTAACCCCAATTTTGAGGCTGCCCCCAGAGCCCCACTTTGCATTCCTAGTTGGGGAGGCACTGCTATATATGCGATAGAGTGAATGTCTGCATAAAATAGGATACTTGAAAAGTTCATCACTTAGAGTTTGCTTGTCAGCATGGATCCTTGGGCCACATGAACTAAATAAAGTATGCCCCTTTCTTTTTACCTCCTGTCAATCAACAGTACCATCTTTTGTTTTATCAGAGCACTTTTGGGCTAGAAAGACCCTAAGATATCAGCTGAGCCAGACCTGGCCCTTAGACATACTCCTGTTGGCTCTTGGTCTTTGTGAGGAAATTTAGAAGTTTTTTTAAAGTTTACTTATTTATTAATTTGAGGGGGGGGGGAAGAGAGAAAGAGGAGAGAATGAATGAGTTTGAGTGGCGAAGGGGCAGAGAGAGAGGGAGAGAGAGAGAGAATTCCAAGTAGGCTCTACACTGTCAGCACAGAATCCAACATGGGGCTTGGACTCATGAGCTGTGAGAGCATGACCTGAGCTGAAACCAAGATCTAGATGCTTAACTGACTAAGCGTCCCTGGAGGGAAATTTTAAATGGTCAACATTTAAACCTTGGGAGGTTTCATTTAAAAGCCCAGAAGGTTTCTCTTGAAAATGTAGGAGGTCTGGCAATACTGGGCCTTTATTTCAAACTGGCACTAACTGACTGAAGCTGAGAATTGTATGCTTAATTTACATGGAATGTTCTCCAATTTGACATGGTTTTCACCATGACTTTTTTTTCCCACACCAGCTTGCTTCTCCACTTACTGTACCTGTCAAGCCTCTGTGCATATTTGAGCTTAAAATCGTTCATTTGGGCCAGCATCTCCAAAGGGACAGGGATTTCCCCAAGGTTGCAAGGCAAGTGTGGTAGCAGAGCTGGTTCTAGAAACATGCCTTTCATGTTCTTTTGTCCAACACATACCTGCCTCCACAAATGTGAACTGATTCAGAGCAGGAATACCAGACTCATCTGTGATTTTTATGCATGGTTATATAAATGGCCTCAGGAATCTTCCTTAAAATGCTCAGGGTCAGTGCAAATGACCCCTGAGTTAGTGGCTAAAGACAACAACAAAAGCAAGAGAAATAAGGAGGAAATTAATTCATCCTTTATTAGGGGTTAAATTGCATCTCCTTAAAATTCATATGTTGAAGTCCTGAGCTCCCAGTACCTCAGAATGTGACTATATTTGGAGACAGAATCTTTTCAGAGCTGATTAAGCTAAAATGAGGCCAGTAGATGGACTCAAATCCAGTATGACTGGTGGCATTAAAAGAAGAGGAGATTAGGACACAGACACACATAGCAAGGAAAATGACATGCAAACATGAAAATAGGTATCCAAAACCCAAGGAGTGAGACCTCAGAAAAACCAACCCTCAGACAGCTTGATCTCAGGCTTCTCACCTCCAGAACTATGAGAAAAGACATTTGTGTTTGGAGCCCCCACAGTCTATGGTACTTTGTTATGGCAGTCCCAGCAAATGAACACACCTCTCTTAATCAAATAAAAAGAAATTACGTTGGCATCATCTTATAAATGTGTTTGCAACTCTAATTTAATCTCCACGAGAAGACCAAACACAGTGCCCAGTGAGGACTGTGGTAGCCAAGAGTGTGCCCTTAGGAGTCAAACATCATAGCTTCTAATTCCAGCCACTTCACTCACCACCTAGGTAAATGGGCAATTTTCTTAACCTCTGTCTAAAATATGGAAATACTGGCAGCACCTGTTTCCTACACTTGTGGTGATGAATGGCTGACATTCCACCTAAGGCATTTAGGCATGGACTCAGTGCAGATGAGTGCTCCGGAATCAGGAGCTATTATTAGTTGTCACTCTCTCTGGGGAAACTCTCACGTGCTTAATCTTTGGAACTAGAGTCTAAAGAGAAGGAACAGGAATAAATTAACGAACAATCTTTTGAAGTGCTTTAAAGTAAATGAACAAATCAGGAGACTATAGATGCTGGAGAGGATGTGGAGAAACGGGAACCCTCTTGCACTGTTGGTGAGAATGCAAACTGAAATCCAGAGAAATGCACTCTGGAAAACAGTGTGGAGGTTCCTGCAAAAATTAAAATAGATCTACCCTATGACCCAGCAATAGCACTGCTAGGAATTTACCCAAGGGATACAGGAGTGCTGACACATAGGGGCACTTGTACCCCAATGTTTATAGCAGCACTCTCAACAATAGCCAAATTATGGAAAGAGCCTAAATGTCCATCAACTGATGAATGGATAAAGAAATTGTGGTTTATATACACAATGGAATACTACGTGGCAATGATACAGAATGAAATATAGCCTTTTGTAGCAACGTGGATGGAACTGGAGAGTGTTATACTAAGTGGAATAAGTCATACAGAGAAAGACAGATACCATATGTTTTCACTCTTATGTGGATCCTGAGAAACTTAACAGAAGTCCATGGGAGAGGGGAAGGAAAAAAAGTTAGAGAGGGAGGGAGCCAAACCATAAGAGACTCTTAAAAACTGAGAACAAACTGAGGGTTGATGGGGGGTGGGAGGGGGAGGAGGGTTGGTGATGGGCATTGAGGAGGGCACCTGTTAGGATGAGCACTGGATGTTGTATGGAAACCAATTTGACAACAAATTTCGTATTAAAAAAAAATAAAAATTGAATAAAGGTCAAATCTATCCATAAAAAAAAGAAGTGCTTTAAAGTATATTTTGAAGTCACTGTGGAATTGTGGCTTTGAAAGGTGGCTAAGCCCACCATTATTTGCCTAGGTACACAGTGCTTGAAGAGTTCCTGGAACTGAGCTTTGATTTCACAAGATTTTGGACTGAAAAAGCTATTTATTTTATGAGGCAACACACTTAGCATGGAGTTACAGAGCCAAGTTTAGTTCCACTGGCTACCAGCTCAGTAAACTTGGCCACTGTTTTTATGTCTCTGGAATTAAGGGCACACTAGTAATATCTACCTTGGGGCTTCCTACAAGGATTAGTGATATAATATGTATACATTATCTTGCCAGCATTGTGCCTAATATACAATAAGGGCTAAATAAATATTGAAGTGCTAATTCCCAGCAAATTCTGAAGCCAACTCCCCATTAGATATTAAAAATATTTTTTTTTAATTTTTTTTTCCAACGTTTTTTATTTATTTTTGGGACAGAGAGAGATAGAGCATGAACGGGGGAGGGGCAGAGAGAGAGGGAGACACAGAATCGGAAACAGGCTCCAGGCTCCAAGCCATCAGCCCAGAGCCTGACGCGGGGCTCGAACTCACGGACCGCGAGATCGTGACCTGGCTGAAGTCGGACGCTTAACCGACTGCGCCACCCAGGCGCCCCTAAAAATATTTTTTAAATGAAAGACATTCACTTTATATGATATGAACTAACTTCTGCATAGTGGAATTTTCTTTCACTTGTTCACTTTCTGGGTCATTCTTACTTCTCTATGTACCCTCCTTCACAGCCCATCACATTCAGATCTGCCTAACATGAAACAGATCACACTCTATGCCAGCCACTGCGCTTGGCCTATCACATGTATAATCTCCTTTATCCTTCTCACGATACCCCCATTCTCCTTTTGCAATTAAGGAAATTAAATGTGAAAAGAGTTAAGAGCCTTGCCCAAAGTCAGCCAACCTATAAGTGACACAGTCAGAACTTGAAATTTGGTCTTCATATTTTAAACTATGCAAATACTTTCCTGTCCTATGTACATAGACACACACACACACACACACACACACACACACACACACCTCACAAAGATGCTATCGTTCACCTGTCTTACCTGGTACTCTCTAGGCAAAAGGTGGGCTTGGTCCTGGACTAGTGTAGAAATGGGAACTTGGCATATTCAGTTCTCTCTGATCAGAAAAGTCCCCAACACTGTACACACAAAAGAACTTTCCACCTCTGGGGCGGAGAACTTGGCAAGAATTGGATGATTTAGAAATAGGAGGAGATGCTCAGATAGAAAAGGGCAAAAAACAATCACAGTCCTCCATGGGAGATAATCAGTTGGGTAAAGAAAGTATTTGAAGTCATCCCAGTTCTTATGGGATGATGACCTGCGGTGTGAATAAATAAATAAAGTCAAATGGAGAACTCTCACTAGCTCTCTGTGGCTAACCTGCTCTCTGTCCCAACCCTGTACCTCCAATGCTCACATTTAAGTGACAGCCAAGTGGCACAAAGCCTGTGCTCTGAAAGCAGAAAGGTCTGAGTTCAAGTCTCCAGTCTGCCACCTACCA